TGAGATGTATATTGTAGCCGTGTTGGTCTAAGGACATAGGCAGACAAGGTTCTTTGGGTAAATCTGATATCTCTTATTAGACCAGTTAAATAGTTGGAAAAATTCTTCTTTGCAAGCTTTAGGGTTTAAAAACCCTTCATCAGGCAGGGGAAGCATCTGCAGTTGATCTGTGCTCTTCCTGGATGGAATGAATAGTAAAGAAGCCAGAGGTTGGTATGCATGCAAGAAAGGCAGTCATTGAAGATGTAAATTGAGGAGTCAGTGGGTGAGAGAGAGGCTGGGGGGCAGGGGAATGAATTACTGAATTTCTGAATTACTATGAGATTGCCTGGGGTTCTTCATGTTTCTAAAGATTTCAGGAAAACCAGACTTAATTTCTAATTAAAATGTATGCATAAATCCACACAGCTAAAAAACAGTAAGGCAGAAGCACCACTCATGCTTTGCAGGTCACCTCCAATTCATATTTAAAATCAGTATACATAAACCTTAGTAAAAAGCCATGCTATATTTTATGTTCTAGGATTATTTTTAAAAAGCCTGATACATTACAACTGACTGTACTGTTGAGGCTAAAAAAAACCCAGAATGTACAGCAACTCCCTTTCCAGCATTCCCCCCCACCAAAAAAAACAACCCAAAAACTGGTGAATTTTGAAGCATAACAGAATCCTGGGACTGGCCTGAACACAAAAATAAAAGTTAAAAGTCCAACATTACCACATTTTGAGTGCTAGATGACAACAATACCTTTTAGTTCTAACACTGCATAGTAACTTGTTGACTTGACTCATGTTTCTCTCTTCCTTATCACCTAAAAGGCTTTTTGCTCCACTGTATTACTTCAAGAACAGCAATTTCCCTTGAAAATGCAAAGTGGCTCTTCATAACCAGCCTCTCTCTGACTCCCAATTGTTTCATAGTTTCATAGATTTAGGGTCGGAAGGGACCTAGTAGATCTTCTAGCCTGAACCCCCGCCAGGGCGGGAGAACAAAAAAAAAAAAACCCCCAAAACAAAAATGGGACTCAAATGAGTCCAGCCAGGTAGGCATCCAGCCTCTTCTTAAAGACCCCCAGGGTAGGGGCCAGCACCACTTCCCTTGGAAGTTGGTTCCAGCTCCTAGCCGCCCTAACTGTGAAGTAGTTTTTGCGGATGTCCAATCTATACCTCCTCTCCATCA